GGGCTCAAGTTGCAGGGAGCCAGATTTAGGCTGAAGATGAGGAAAAATCTCTTAACTGTTAGAGCAGTGCAACAATGGAACCAATGGCCTCGGGAACTGGTGAGTGCTCCTGTGCTGGAAGAAACAAAGAGAAAATTGGACAGCCGTCTGGCAGATATATTTGTTTTCCTGCCTTGAGCAGGGGGTGGTCTCGATGGCCTTATAGACCCCTTCCAACTCCATTATTCTGTGATTCTATGTGTACTGTATATCCTCCCTTTCTTCCCATAGGTTCAAAGCTGCAAAAGTGGTTGTCCTCATTTTATCCTCACCATAACCCTTTGTGGTAGGTCAGATGCAGAGAAAATGAGGGAACGGCAGAGCCTGAGTACGCCTAGACTAAAATCGCCCAGTGTCTGTCATGGCTCCACAGTGGGGATTAGAACTCGGGTCTATCTTCTCTTCTATGTTTCCTAGGAGGAGCCGCTACCGTCGGGCTGTACGGACGGACAATACGGAGGGATCCAGTACTTCCACTGCCAACCAAACAAGGGACTTTTTGTCAAACTGCGTCGCTGCCGCCCCGATTCTCGCTTCGGCACCCTGCAAAACCTGGAGAATCCTGTTCTGAGATGCAACTCGTTGGGTAGGACTCAAATGTGCCAAGAAGAAAGGAAGGGTGTGTGTGTGTGTGCGTGCGTGCGTGCGTGCGTGCGTGCGTGCGTGTGTGTGTGTGTGTGTGTGTGTGTGTGTGTAAAAGCAACACATATAAGGCATACCTCAGTGAGTCAGGGGTCAAGATTTTGTGTCTCCAAATCTGGAGAATCCTGTTCTGAGATGCAACTCGTTGGGTATGACTCAAATGTGCCAAGAAGAAAGGAAGGGTGTTTGTGTGTATGTGTGTGTGTGTGTGTGTGTGTGTGTGTGTAAGTGACACATATAAGGCATACCTCAGTGAGTCAGGGGTCAAGATTTTGTGTCTCCAAATCTGGAGAATCCTGTTCTGAGATGCAACTCGTTGGGTATGACTCAAATGTGCCAAGAAGAAAGGAAGGGTGTTTGTGTGTATGTGTGTGTGTGTGTGTGTGTGTGTGTGTGTAAGTGACACATTTAAGGCATACCTCAGTGAGTCAGGGGTCAAGATTTTGTGTCTCCACTGTGTGGTGGTGGTGGAAACGACACATTTAAGGCATACCTCAGTGAGTCGGGTGTGTGTGTGCCAAGATTTTGTGTCGCCACTGTGGGCAGAGCCAGCATGCGTGTCCTAGGGCAAACTGCATAGCCTAAAAGTTTCCCCAGAAGATGGGGAATGGCAAGCCACTCCGTTCCGAGAAAAGGCTGGGAAGGGCCCCCATAAGATGAAATTGACTTCTCAGTATGTAATAATAATGATTATTACATCTGGAGTGATAGAGCTCCAGCAGAACCATTTTTTTCATCCTCACAAGAGTCTCTGAGGACCACATCGCCACCCTTATTAGCCCTTGGGGAGGGCCACCTGGGATCAAACTCCCATTTTCCACCTTCCTGGTTCGTTACCGGGTGCCTGGGACAGACGAGGCTTGGAGACTAGTAGCAACATCTGGATGGCCAAGCTTCCCCACTCCTTGGTTTAGCCTAGTGGTTCCTAACCTTGGGTCTCCAGATGTTCTTGGACTGCAACTCCCAGAAAGACTAGCCAGCACAGCTAGGGGTGAAGACTTCTGGGAGTTTTAGTCCAAGACTCTATGGGGACCCAAGGTTGGGAAATCACTGGGTTCAGGGAATGTGAGACCTTTTAGATGTTTGTTCCACTCCAGCCCTGGTCAACTCCAACCAATATCTGCAGAGCTATACATTTTCTCCACCCCTAAGCTAAGGAAAGGGATTGATGTGGAAGTCCATTCTCCTTTCTGTCTTCTTCCCTTTCACTCCTCCTTGCCCAGACTTCCGAGTGTACGCCAGCGAGAGAGTGGAAGAGGACACGCCGCCCCCACCCTTGGGTAGCGAGGGAAGGGACCATCTGTCAGGATGGAAGAAGGGGATCCAAGGCCATTGCAATTCCTGTTATCTGGATGCTACTCTCTTCTGGTAATGTCCCCATTTCGGATGGGTGGGAGGGATGCATTGCTTCATCATCCTAGACTAGAAAAGTCCTGGGCTGGATTCCCTGTCTGGCAGTAAAATGTTTGGATAACAGCGTTTCGATTGAATATCAGGAAAAACTTCTTAACTGTTAGAGCAGTACGACAGTGGGACCAATTAGCTCGAGAGGTGGGGAGTGCTCCAACACTGGAGGCATTCAAGAGATCCTTAGACAACCACCCGGTAGATATCCTTTGATCTGTATCCCTGCGTCGAGCAGAGGCTTGGACTTGATGGCCTCATAGGCACCTTCCAACTTCACTATTCTATGATATCAAGTTAAGGAATACTAAAAAACTGTCCTAAATGTAGCTAACAGGGAGAAGCTTTGCTAGGGCCTCGCAAGGTAAATCTACAATGGCCTAGAGATTTACATTTTCACTAGTCCTCAAGGAAACCTGAGATATTTTGTGGAGCTCTTGATAAGAGAAGGAAAACTAGGATAGCCGTTTTTATATGCAGAGTAAACACAACGCAAATAACTTTAACTTAAGTAATGCTTTAGTGTAAATAACAAAAGGCAAGCAAAAAAAATTCAGAGCTTCTAAAAGACAAAGGTCTAGCAGACTTTAAAAAAAAAACCATGGAAATTCATATGGGACTTTATATTAAATTTAAAAAAAATATTGACCTAGGATTTGTAATTTTGAATTGTAGAATTTCAGATCACGATATGTATAGTTTAGATTTTGGTCTTTTCTTTTAACTCTTCATTCATTTTTAACAAACTTTATGATAATTATTAGCTATTAAGGAAAAAGTGATTTCAAGAAGCATTGAAAAAATGTGTGAAAAGTTCCAGAGCATCATAGAGTGAAGAAACCATGAAATTTGTCAACTCTGGTGAAGCCCCTTTCCTGTTTCCTTCCCCCTTTCTTGTATTTTTGTTTCTTCCTCTTTTTTTGGCTCAGTATGTCTTTATTGTATTTGAAACTTAGTAAAATATTTAAAAAACAAACCAAAAGGCACAATTGTATGGCGGCAGCTTTGTGCCGTAGAGTTTTAGGGAAAAAGGGAATCGGAAGGGGAAACCATCTGCCCGTCCATCTGTGCTTGCGATGTGCGAGAACTTTCCTCCTTGACGGGAAAAGACTCAAGTTTTAGAAACACGCAGTGTGCTCAAATTCTGAAGACCCTGACTAGAAAACAAAATAAAAATCAAACCCACTGCTTGTCTCACTCTCATCTGAGGTGAGACACCTGAAAATTCCTCACCGAGGTATTCTGTTAGGTTGACGTAGAACAATGATTAAGGGAATCCTTTAAAGTCCTGGTCCTTTAAATTAGCCTGTTATCCCCTCAGGATGTGGTGGAAAATGCTCAGTTATCCCCAGTATCTATACAGTGGTGCATCGCAAGATGGGCGCTCTGTTTAACAATTAATCCGCATTACGACGAGGTTTTTGCGATAGCAAAAGCAATCGCAAAATGACGTTTTGAATGGGGGGATTTTGCTGCGTGATGATCAGTTCCCTGTTTCGGGAACCGATTTTCGCTTCCCGACGATCAAAACAGCTGATCGTCGGGTTTTCAAAATGGCCGCCAGGTGCTCACAATGGCTCCCTGCTGTGTTTAGAAGCCATTTTTCGCTGCACAGGCACCCGAAGATGGCCGCCCCTATGGAGGATCTCCTCTGGACAGTGAGTTCTTAGCCGATTGGAACGCATTAACCAGGTTTTAATGCATTTCAATGGCTTTTTAATTTTCGCTTTACGATGTTTTCGTTCTACAGCGATTTCGCTGGAACGAATTAACGTTGATTTCACTGGAATGAATTAACCACTGTATAAGATTCAACCAAGCTAGTTCAAGTTGCTGTATGAGAAATCGGAGAGGAAGACAGAATCCAGGCCTCTCCATAACCGTTCTGTCTGTCTCTCTGCTCTGCTCCTTATAGTATGTTCACTTTTACATCCGTGCTGGATTCAATGTTGCTGCGCCCTGCGGACAAGAATGACGGGAAATCTTATACGGAGACACGGGATCTGCTGAGGACGGAGATTGTCAACCCCTTGCGCAAGTGAGTTTGCAGTTCGTTGACCTTCGCCGGTTAAAATTATTAAGCTGCTACTTCCTCTTGTTTCTTAAATTAGTGAATGAGGTGATTTGGTGGGAAAGGAGCCTTGCAAGGCAATGCATGGCACAACAATAATGTACATAGAGTTAATCAGATTTCTCTGTATTACGGCAAGTGAAGGCAATTGATATTAATTTATAAGCAGCGAGTGTGTGTATTTTCTAAAGAGGTAGCCACGTTACTCTGTTTCAACAAAGAGAAAGAAGGAAGGCTATTTCATAGGTTTATTTCAGGGTGAGTTTTTGTGGTTTTCTTAAGGGAGTCAGTCCATCTCGTGTTGGGTCTCCCTGTTAAGGGAGTCAGTCTATCTCATATTGGGTCTGCCTCTTTTCCTGCTGCCTTCCACCTTTCCCAGCATTATCGTCTTTTCCAGAGAATCTTGCCTTCTCATGAGGTGCCCAGAGTGGGACAAAACTAGCAATGACATGCCTCTTTTTGTTTTTTGCTTTTTGTCGTGGTGGTGGTGGGGACAGGAATGGCTATGTCTGTGCCACCAAAATCATGACCCTGCGGAAAGTTCTGGAAACAGCTGGACATTCTTCAGGCTTCACCAGTGAAGAAAAAGGTTTGGAGATAGTATTCGTACATTTGTGTGTGTGTGAGAGAGAGAGAGAGAAAGAGAGATCTTTCTATGTACACTTAGATGTGAAGTGAGCAAGTAATTTGAGCCTTGCTCAAGGGATGAGAATTTATTTATTTAATTTGTATATTGCCCATCTGGCTACAAGAAAAAGGAAGGAACTTATTTTTGCAAACCCACAGCTGAAATCCTGTTGCTTAGTGCAGTGGCCCCCAGCCTTTTTCGCACCACGGACCGATTCAGCAGGTGGACAGGGGCATCTGTGTGGGTGCGTGCGGCCGTGGGTGGCGTGTGCGTGCATGCATCTGTGGGCGGGGCATCCGTGTGTGCATGTGGGGGGGCATGCGTGCGGAGCAGGCAGGAGATCTGTCTCCGCAGCCTGGTCCTGCCAAGAACTGGGGACCCCTGGCTTAATGTGAGAAAACATGTAACTTTCAGTCTTTTCCTAGCTGCCAAATAAAGAGACCTCACCGTGTTGCTAGGACGGTTTCAATGCTCGAGTACCATGGCAGGGACCTTTTTATCACCAGTTAGGAGCAGATCGAAAGTTACAAATTTTTTCACACTAAATAACAGGATTTCCACCTGCGTTTTTCTCCTGCCCTGTTATCCATCATGAAACGATGGTGCGTGTGTTTCTAGACTGTGGTCTGCTCCGCTCATGCCTAGATCTGATATTTGATCCACAGATACTTTGAAACCCAATAAGTCTAAACTTTGCCATTAAAATCCAATTCTCACATGGGTTATTTTATTAACAATAATGGGAACTTCTAGGCAGTTGTCCATATTTACCTCAGGACAAGTCCCCTGGAACTCACCAGGGCATGCATCTGCATAGGATACCACAGTAAATCCTCATTTTTATAACTGATGATTGAGCTGATTATAAAGCTAGGGCAGGAAACCTGTACTTCTCCAGATGCTGGTGGATCGCAGCTCCCATCAGCCCTCAGCACCAGAGCCTGTGGCAGACAGGAATGATAAAAATGGAGATGAGGGGATGACGTGGAAAGGGACGGGGCTGAGGGGGAAGACTTGACGTGTTTGGGGAAAAAAGCCACTGATGAGTGGGAGCAATGGGCTTTCTGGGCCGTGTCCTTACCCGATTCTCCTCACAGACCCCGAAGAGTTCCTCGCCCTTCTGTTCCGCGTGCTGAAGATGGAGCCGTTGTTCCATATTCGGTGAGTAGACTGACGGTTCCTTCACTCTCCGGGCCTTGCAACGTGTGGGTTCTGTGTTAAAATCGGATCCTACCAGCATTCTGTGCCGGGATGGTGCCAACATAAAGACTGCAGCCTTTGCAATTCAGGTGGATCAAGAATGTTTATAGGTAAGGTAAAGGTTCCCTTTGACAAATTGTCTAGTCATGTCCGTCTCTAGGGTGTGGTGCTCATCCCCGTCTCCAAACCACAGAGCCAGCGTTTGTCCGAAGACAGTTTCTGTGTTCACGTTGCCAGTGCAACTAGACACGGAATGCCGTTATGTTCTCACCTTAGTGGTACCTATTGATCTACTCGCATTTTTACATGCTTTCGAACGGTGACCTTTTTCAGGGTTTTCCAGGTAGAGAATAGTCAGAAGTGGTTTATCGTTCCCTTCTTCTGGGGCCATCCTGGGACTGAGCAGTCGGGAAACTAAACCAACGAGCTATCCAGGCAGCTTGGATGAGAACTAGAAACTTGTGAAAGAAAGACTAGGAGTTAGATTTTAAATACACTGTATGGGGAGGATGGATGGATGGATGGATGGATCTTCAATAATCAGGGAAAGCTCTTCTCCAGTATCTGAACCTTGTTAACTGGGGCAACCCCATTGTAGACTACCCTTTCCACAAAGGTGCAGCTGATGTCAGGAATGCAACTGTTTTGGTTCCACCCCGAAGGTTTTTTGTTTGCCAAGAGAGTTTTCTTGGCTGATTTTTGCCTCTTTTAATCAGGTGAGTTATTCCCCTTCTATCGGACAACGCGCTTTTGGATCTTACTAATTTAATGAGATCATATTTTGTTAATTCAGTTCGTAAGTTGGTCCTGCCATCAATTTTTAAATATTTAAATAATTACATGAGTAACATATTCTAGGCTGGAGGTAAAGTAGGAGAGAAACCTATTTCTAACTCTGCCAAAATGGAATTTAACCTACCTTGATTCACCTGCAGGACCCTTTCCTATCCTCATTGCCATTTCACCTTCTCGCCTTGTTTCCATCTAGCTCAGCTGGTAAAGAACCCCATGGCTGCATTTTCTACCAGATCTTTGTTGAAGATCACCCACCAAAGATGGTGCCCACAGTCCAGGAGCTTCTTGAAGGATCACTAGTCTCTGGAGACCTCAAGTTCACCGAGGTGAGACCCAGAAACAGGTGGAGGGTTAAAACTGGGAGCTGATGTTCAACAACATTTGGGAACCAGATGTTGGAACCACTGCTCTTGGAACATCATACCATACATTGCAAAAACAGAGACCTCCTGTTCTAAGGAGAACTCAATTGAACGGTTGAGTGAAAGCCATAGAAGGACCTCACCTGTGTTTTTCTCCCCTCTCCTTACCCTTTCCTGGTGCTTTCTTACTCCTTGGCAGGCCCCCTCCTGCCTCATCCTCCAGATGCCACGAAATGGGAAGAACTTCAAGGCCTTCCACACCATTCAGCCCAGTCTGGAGCTTGACATCACAGACCTCTTGGAAGAAAGTAAGGGGCAATATGGTGGGATTCAAGGAAAGATGCTGCTGCTTAGAGAAGGTATCGCAGAGGGGATAGAGCAGAAAGATTGTGGAAGGACAGAGTAGTGGGAAGTCTTTGAGAAACACCACCCCTACAGGTTAAGAACGGAACTACATTCTGGGAGGTCCATTTCCTGCCCTGCCTCTTGTGCTGTTCACTCTATGGTTTGCATTCCCCCTGCAAGCTCAGACACTTGTCTGACAGGGGGATCTTTCTAGTTCAGAGTCCTGTTGCCCAGCATGTCCAGTCAGATGTACCGTATTTTTCGCTCCATAAGACGCACCTTTCTATAAGACGCACCAATTTTTTAGGAGAAGAAAACAGGAAAATATAATCTGTTTTCTTCGCTTTTCACTCCATGGTTTGCCTTCCCCCGTAAGCTCAGACACTTGTCTGACAGGGGGATCTTTCTAGTTCAGAGTCCTGTTGCCCAGCATGTCCAGTCAGATGTACCGTATTTTTCGCTCCATAAGACGCACCTTTCTATAAGACGCACCAATTTTTTAGGAGAAGAAAACAGGAAAATATAATCTGTTTTCTTCGCTCCATAAGACGCACAGACTTTCCACCCCCCTGCTTTGTGGGAAAAAAGTGCGTCTTATGGTGCGAAAAATACGGTATTTAATAGGCCCGTAAACAAGGCATGAAAATAATACTCTTCTACTTTTGCCCTTCAGCCATGAATGGCTGAAATCCTGTTGTGCAGTTACACAAGAGGTGTACTTCTAGTGGTCTACTTACTGCTATAAATTAAGAAATCTCCATAGGCATTATCTGTGGGACATCAAGTGGTGTGATGCAGTATGCAATAGGCAATTCTTAACATAGAATCATAGAATCATGAAGTTGGGGGACATCAAGTGGTGTGATGCAGTATGCAATAGGCAATTCTTAACATAGAATCATAGAATCATGAAGTTGGAAAGGGCCTATAAGGCCACAAATCCAATCTTCTGCTCAATGCAGGAATACAAATCAAAGGATATCTGCCAGGTAGTTGTCTAAATTTCTCTTGAACGCCTCCAGTGTTGGAGCACTCACCATGTCTCAAGGTAATAGGTTCCATTGCCATACTGCTCTTACAATTACCAGATAGTTGTCTACATTTCTCTTGAATGCCTAGAGCATTGTAGCACTCACCACGTCTCAAAGTAATTGGTTCCATTGCCATACTGCTCTTACAATTAGGAAGTTTTTCCTGATCTTCAGCCTAAATCTGGTTTCTTTTAACTTGAGCCCATTACTACATGTCCTGCACTCTGGGATGATTGAGAACAGATCCTGCCCCTCCTCTGTATGGCAAATCCAAGTATTTGACAAGTGCTTCCCTCAATCTTCTTTTATAAAGGCTATGATTGTCTAGTTCTTTTGGTTTTTCTTCACAGGGCTTGGCTTCCAGCCCCTTTAATTATCCTGCTTGCCCTCCTCTGAACTGGTTCCAGTCTGTCAGCATCCTTTTTGAAGTGTGGTGTCCCACTGGTTCCAGTTTGTCAGCATCCTTTTTGATGTGTGGTGTCCAGAACTGGAGACATCACTTAGGCAGTAAACTTAGGCACCTTACGGCTAAAAGTTACACCTTTTTGCCTAAATGTGCAACATGATCTCAGCCAGTTTGTTACTATGGTATATTGCTGATCGATCTGGAGGCTCTGTTTCACTATCGTAAATTGTGATATGGGCCAGTCCTCACATTTGGCAATGTGAGACACCTGCCCCAGGCAGTGGATATTGGAGAAGAGAGCTGGGTGTGAGCCACATGGCACATTCTGAACCCTTTAAGCTCGGGTCTAGTAGAGCACCCTGTCTGGTCACGACCGTCGATTAAGATTCACTTCTGTAGCAAGTGATAGGTGCCAGCTTAATTTTTACCTCACATGGCTGAATGTCTTAGACTGACCCTGGTTTTAGTGATGTATGAAACCTTCCGCAGCAGTAATTGTAGAAGAGGTCGGCGTGTTAGTCCGTGCTAGTATATGAGACAAAAAAGAAAGAAAAAAAAAGCCAACCCAAAAGAAAAATAAAAAATAAAGAAGACAAAAACATTGTGGGACCTTAACGCCTAACTGCTATATTTTAAAATACAAATGTAATAGTTAGTCTTTAAGATGCACAGCAGTTTTGTTGCCTTTATTTCTGATTTTGTTCTTGCCTGATATAAAGCCTTCCTTCACCATAAGTTGATCTAACCCTTCTTCCAAATCCCTCTAAGCTGGTAGCAGCCCCCTTCCTCAGCTGAGTTGTATACACTAATTTTTGCCTTGCTTGACGAGGTATTTCCGTTGATGCATGCATCGACAATGGATGCAGCTTCTTCAAACACATCAAACCAGTTTTGCTGTCTTTTTTTTGTTTGTTTTGTTTTGTGGTGGGTTTTTTTTGAGAGGAAAGGTATATTGGGAATAAATAAGGGTGCTTTGAGATCCTCTCTTCTCAAAAATAAAATAAAAATAATATCGTTTGCAAAACTGGGTAAAATTACTTATTTGAGCAGCAGCTGCTTCGTTGCAAAAGCTGTTGTGGCCCCTGAACTTTGTGGTGGTGGCGGGCGGGGGCGGATTATGAGAACTGTTGTCAAAAAAGAACCTTCCAACTTTTGGTCATGAACTCCCTTCTTTGACCGACACAAACCCCCTTCTGACCAATTCATTGCAGCCCCTCGGGAGTGTTGCATTTGCCAAGACCTGGCTGTTACGGAGTGTCTGGATTGCTACAGAGACCCCAGCCTTGGCGATCTGCACATCAAGCAGTTCTGCAAGATCTGCAATCAGCAGGTAACCTGTGAGCTGGTCTTCTCATGGCTAGTCTTCCCCATAGCGCAAGGAGATGGTGAAGACTCACAAATTTGTCTCATCTTTGCTGGGGGGGGGGGGAAATACATGTGTTGACCCATCAAAATACCCCCATCAAAGTAAGAATTAAACTACAGAAGGACCTCCCTGTCCACAGGACCAGTATCCACAGATTCACTTACCCGCTGTCTGAAAATATTTTTAAAAGCCCATGGTGTAGTTACCAGAACTAGCCACTAGAGGGAGACAGAAACACACTGTGTTTAGCACGTGCAATTTCTGCATTTTTGACATCCGCAGGTGGGGGGATGGCCTGGGGGTACTGTGGCCCCACTATATGTAAGATATTTCTCTGCTGTGTGAGACCAAAAAAAGACCAGCTCTTTTTTTCCCATCGGCAAAACCCGAACCTCAAAAGGTTGTGTTTTGTTCTGGGGAAAACTTGGTATTTTGTTAGAAAATGGTGTATTTTGTGCAGTAGACCACGGTGGGGTGGGGGGATAGAAAAGGCCCCCTAAGTCCTTTTGCAAACAATGTGCCGAAGTAGAGGAAATGGACAAAAATGTCTGTAGCCTTCTCAGCAGATAGAAAATCATTGATATTTGTTAATGCTGATTTACGGGTACAAACTAAGCAAAGATTGACCTTCCTAGGACAGTATGGTGGTGGGAGGGTATGTAGAAGAGGGTTTTTTCCCCCTAGCTTGCAAAACATTTTAAGACAAAAATGAATGTGGGGGGGGGTGGGAACATCATGGCCTCTTTGTATTTGAGAAAATCAAGAATGAACCCTTGAGATAAGTTTTGAGTTGGAACCCATATTTTCTTACAGTGGGATGAGCAAGCAGAGGGGGGGATCCTGCTTGGGGAAACGTGGCTGGCCGTGGCAGGCTTCCTTATTTTTCCCCATTCCAAATAAATAAAACAATAAAGATTTCTCTTCACGATGCTGCTCTGCTTGCCTTCGTAGGTTCACAAGCACCGGGCCCGGCATGGCCACCAGCCGCGTCCGCTGCATCTGCCAGAGGGATTCTCCCGCTTGGGCTCTGTCCCTGGGGTCCCCCCTCGTCAGACGATGCAGCTCTTTGGGGTTCTGTGTATCGAAACCAGCCACTACGTCGCGTTCACTCGCCATGGCCCAGATGTCCACCAGTGGCTTTTCTTTGACAGCATGGCTGACCGTGAGGGTAAGGCATTATGTGTGGCCTTCTCAAGCAGGACACAAGACAGTTTCTCTGAGGAACCGGAAGTACAGTGGTGCCTCGCTTGACAACGTTAATCCATTCCGCTTAATGCGTTCCTGTAGGGGGTAAACTCACCGCTAAGCGGGAATCCTCCATAGGGCTGCCATTTTCACTGCCTCGGTAAGCGGCCGCCGGCTTTTTCGGCCAGCTGACCGACGGGCTTCGGAAGGACGGCAGGGGAGCCCTCCCCCGCGGTCCTTCCAAAGCCCCACTGGTCAGCTGGGGGAAAATGGGGCCTATGGGGAAAAATCGCACAGGGAACATCGCAATGCGATCGCTTTTGCAATCGCAAAATCCGCATCGCTACGTGGATTCGTCATTAAACAGGGCGCCCATTAAGCGAGACACCACTGTATTGTGACAGTCAGTGGTTTTGAGGAATAATGCTTGTTCTGTTCTGGATGGTTTATCTTTTGTTGTTTCTAAATCTGTTTTTAGTAATGCTTTTGCCTAACATTTTAAATGTAATATTGTTAATTCTTCAGTATTTGAATACAGTGGTGCCTCGCTCAATGACAATAATCCATTCTAGGAAAATCACCGTTAAGCGAAAACATCGTAAAGCAAAAAAAAAAACCCATTGAAACCCGTTCAGTGCGTTCCAATGGGGTAAAGACTCACCATCCATTTTCCTCCGACACCATGGCTGACTGTGAGGCCATTTTCGCTGCCTATATAGCGAGGAATCTGTCCCTAAACACAGCAGGGAGCCATTTTATTTACCCGGCGGCCATTTTGAAACTGCCGATCAGCTGTTGTAAAATCATCCTTTTGCGAAGAATTGGTTCCCGATTCCCTATTTAGACCATCGTTTTGCGATCGCAAAACGATCATCGTTAAGCGGATTCATCGTAATGCAGGGCACCACTGTAATTTCCTGTTTTTCACTTAATATTGTGTTTTCAGTGATGTCAGCCAACCTTTTAGGAGAAAGAGGGGCCAGTGGAAGGTCAAATAAATATCCTTCTACTGGCCCCATGGGTGGGCGGTTTGCTGTTGAATGAACATTTCCCCAAACCAGCTGCTATAGGGCACTTTCCTGGTGGGACCTATTTCGTGAATGCATAACATGGAAGCCTGAAACCCGATCTTCACCAAACCTGGAGAGATTGTAGAGGAAAGCTGGTAGAAACGTCTCTGTTATTTTGGTGTCTCTGAGTGTTTGGGGGGAACTTTCCTGGAGGAACATCTTTATGGGCGTATCACTTCACCAGATTTGCAGGTATTGGAGAGAAGAGTCAAGGGAAGCTTCCCTCTAAATTTTGTGTCTCTGGGTGCTTGGGACATTTTATCGGGTTTTAGAGTTTAAAAAAAATTGATTCCTCAATTCGTCAGAAAACAAAAAGGTAATTCGTGATTTGTTGACCTTGACGAATCATGAATCGGTGTTAGAGTAAAAAACAACAACAATTTTCTCATTTGCGCCCATCTCTAAAAATGAGGCTTCCAGGCGTTCTGCAGCTACTACTCTTAAATCCCACCCCAACCTTATTCTTCCAATTTTCTGATTTGCGCCCGTCTCTAAACATGAGGCTTCCAGGCGTTCTGCGGCTACTACTGTACTCTTAAATCCCACCCCAACCTTATTCTCCTGTTTTCCAGGTGGAGTGAACGGCTTTAACATCCCTCGCATCACGCCCTGCGCAGAGGTGGCCGACTACTTGGGAATGAGTCCCGAGGCGCTCCAGGGCTTGGACCCCAAATCCTTGCCCACGTACGCTCGCCGCCTGCTCTGCGACGCCTACATGTGCTTCTACCACAGCCCTTCTCTGGGCCTCTACAAATAGGTTCTTGGATTGAGCCTTCGAGGTGCCAAGCAGCCCAAGGAGTTCAGACTGGGGTCTCGCTGTGGATATGGGTCTTCAACCAGAGAGATTTGGATATGGGATGATGGCCCAGTCTAGCCAACAAAGTGGAAACGAGAGCTCCAGTTGCATGGAGCTCAGCTCTTGTTTAGAACACAAAGATTATTATTAAGTTTCTTTGGGCTTGTGTAAAATGAGACTAGGTGAAGGCCCTACAAGCTGCTGCCTTGGGATTGGCCTGGAGAAAGTGTTTAAATTGGGCCAAAGTACTTTTCTCAGGGGGAGCATGGTGGCGCTGCGGGTTAAACCGCAGAAGCCTCTGGGCTGCAAGGTCAGAAGACCAGCCGTCGTACGATCGAATCCATGCCACGGAGGGAGCTACCGTCGCTTGTCCCAGCTCCTGCCAACCTAGCCGTTCGAAAGCACACAAATGAGAGTAGATAAATAGGTACCACCACGGTGGGACGGTCACGGCGTTCCATGTCTAGTTGCGCTGGCCACATGACCACAGAAACTGTCTTTGGACAAAATGCTGGCTCTACGGCTTGGAGATGGGGATGAGCACTAAATGTCAAGGGGAACCTTTACCTTTGCTTACTTTTCTCAACCAATTCGTTGTCATTCAGTTTTTTGCTGATTCAGGATGGGTGCTTATCACCTGTGGCTACCCAGTGTGGAATAGTGTATTGAGTAATGGTCTAGGACTCAGGAAACCTGGGTTTGATTCTCTGACTCAGCCATGGAAACTCACTGGCAATGTGAAACTGGTAAAACCACTTCTTAAATACCTCACTTACTTTGAAACCTTTTTAAGGGTCACTATAACCCAGGAAGGGACGTGGTGGCGCTGCGGGCTAAACCACAGAAGCCTGTGCTGCAGGGTCAGAAGACCAAGCAGTCGTAAGATCGAATCCACGTGATGGAGTGAGCGCCTGTTGCTTGTCCCAGCTCCCGCCAACCTAGCGGTTCGAAAGCATGTAAATGCAAGTAGATAAATAGGGACCACTTTGGTAGGAAGGTAACAGCGTTCCGTGTCTAAGTCGCACTGGCCATGTGACCACGGAAGATTGTCTTCAGACAAACGCTGGCTCTATGGCTTGGAAACGGGGATGAGCATCGCCCCCTAGAGTTGAACACGACTGGACAAAAATTGTCAAGGGGAACCTTTACCTTTATAAGCCAGTTCTGACTTGAGGGCACACAGCAACCAGTGTACCACCTATACTTTCAGAAGTGAAACATGAAAATCAGAATGTCTGTGCATGCTGATGAACGACTATACTATCCTCATTCCACACTCTGCCTCAGGGCTCCAGTTCCTCTTCTCTGAATTCTGTGCCTTCACAATCGTTGAGATAACCTCTATCCTTCAATTCTTCCAACACGAGGACCCGCTTCCGAATTCATCATCCTCATTAGAGGTGTTTTGTCACATTGCTCCTATTGAACATAGGCAGAGGGTGAACAGAGACTGTGCCTTTCAATGGACGTCACCTTGAGTTCAGAATTCTCTGCCTAGAGACTGCCTAGTGCTATCGTTGAAGAAACTGGGGATCATGGAACATGGTCATCTTTTGGAAAAGTCAAGCTTCTCTATCAGTGCCTGGGAATAGCTAGCAAAGAATGTAGAGGGCAGTGTCTGCCCAGTAATGAGAAGCGAAGCCTTCTAAGCTGAAAAGGGCTTGTTTTCTGATTTCAGCTATATTAAGGGAGGGGGCAGAGTGTCTTTCTGAACATTCAAGAAAACTGAAATCTTGATTGGCCAACTGTCAGGAAAGGTCTATAATGTGGTGTTGAATTTTATTAACAAAATGTTTCAGACATTACTTTAGTTGGCTTAGTCTATCTCTTGGTAGATGTTGTGCTCAGCTGCTGTCCTGTGATGCTGTGACAGATGGGATGCCCTTCATGCATGCTCTGAAACCATGCTGAGGCTATGCTAATGTGCATTAAGTAGATTAGCTAGCTTTCTTATTACTGCTGCAGCCTTAGGCTGCAATTGCTTGTTCGCTCCAAATACTTTTGTAACTTAAAAAAAAACTTTTTTGGAACTGTTTGTCTTTTGTACTCTCTTTAATAAAACATTAAAAATTCTCCATCCAGTTGTCTTAATTCTTGGCTAAGAGCATTTATGAGACATACAACCAGGTCCTGCGGTGACCCGCTGCTAGGAGCTTGGATGTTGTTGGGGTGTGGTGGCCATTCTACCTCGCAAGGTTGGTGTGCTAGTCCTAAGGGTTGAACCTTGTGGCACGCCCTGAAAGCACAGTTCAGTTGAGGGATAGACTGAAAAGTTGGGCAATGATGTGAATTGGGCAGTGAGAAACCCAGGCGTGCTTTGCAAAGAACATATCCTGTGGGGGAAAACAGGTTTTCCTTGCAGGATTCTCCTCTGAATTTGTCCAAAGTGCTGTTTTGAATGTTCTCCCTAAAAGAGGACCGATTTTTTTAAAAAAGCAGATTAGACTGCAAGTTTCCCCCTGCAGTGTGTGTGTGTGTGTGTGTGTGTTAAAAAACAGATTAGACTACAAGTTTCCCCCTGCAGTATGTGTGCATGTGTGTGTGTGTGTGTGTGTGTGTGTGTGTGTGTGAGAGAGAGAGAGAGAGAGAGAGAGAGAGAATACACACGCGCACACATATATATAGCAAAGAACCTCAGCAGAGAATTTGACAGTTCTTGTGAAAGAGGGAGAGTTTTCATGTCCACCTAACCTTTCTCTCTCTCTCTCTCTCTGATTGGACAGCAAGGTGTCCCTGCAGCTTGAAACCATGACCCTGTCATCCATTCGTTGACACACCCCAAAGACACAATTTATACCAACAGGGGCATTTGCCAAAACCATTCAAAACAAAGCGATTTCACAAGCAATTTGAAATAAATTACCCTCTTGGGGCCAAGTAAAATGCCCCACTTTCCAGCCGAAGAACAGACTTTCTCAGGGAAAAAAAAGTGGGTGTGCATTGTGTGGTCAGAACTTTTAAAATCAATTTCAAACATGTTGGACTAGATGCAGAAACAGGTTCACATGTAACTGAGCCCTAAGACAGAGCAAAGGTGAGTTTGTACCCTAAGGGCACTGAAATCTAGAAATGAAACTGTTGGAGACAGACCCTAGAAATTGGGTCAGGTATGTTGAGACTTCCTGGACAGAGCAAAGGTGAGTTTGTACCCCAAGGGCACTGAAATCTAGAAATGAAACTGGGAGAGCATTAGGGAAAACCCTAGGAATTGGGTCAGGTATGTTGAGACTTCCTGGTCCAAATCACTTTCATTTTAGTTTTTTAAAAAAAACATAATATTTCTGTGGGTGGCACTGTGTTCTCTTTCGTTTTCTTGTAGGTGTGGAATTTATTCCCATGCTTAGGGCGAAAGGGGTGATAGACCATTTATTTGGTGTGCCCTGGACATCTGTTAACACACCCAGAACAGAACACCCTCTTCTGCTTCTTCCTGAATAATGCAAAGAGAACCAAAATTCAGATATCCTACACGGAAAAGCGAAGTTTTAGGCTTTATTTCCTCTCTCAGGGTTTTTTTTCAGGGTGCCTGCAGTGGAACCTGTGCTCCAGCAGGGGGCAGAACATCCTCATAAGTCGAGAGTCCAAAAATTTAGCTGATAGCGTGGGTGTGATGTTGGCGTTTATTAAGTCCTGAAATGGAGACGATAAAAGAGCTACAGGAAATCAAACAGCAGCTCTTGCGTGCAATTTTTGGCGACTCCTATTTGTCTATCATCCCTTTTTTTTTTCCCAAGTGAAATCCTGCATGCCATAAAGACAGTCCCTTTTGCTCTGCTGGGTTTGCCACTGATCGAAGAGTTCTGAATTGTTTTGTTCTTGTTACGTAATTCATGATGACCCCATGCACCTGCAGTCTCCAAAATCCCCTGTCCTCAACTCTTGTAAACTGAAGCTCGTGGCTTCCTTTAAGGAGCCCGTCCATCTTATATTGGGTCTTCCTCTTTTCCTGCTGCCTTTCCACCTTTCAACAACAGACTTCCACAAACGCACTGACTCTGTGATGTATCCGTCAAATGAATGACACAATGCTTTGCTCACCCATGTTCTCTGAACCCAACGGATGGATCATTCTGGCATAATAGTCATACCGGTCGCCCTAGCCATCAGTGGGAGAAACAATGCTTCAGTGCTTAACTCCTTCTTTCTGTGCCTGGTCTTCACAGGATCCTGGCCACTGCCCCTTGTACATCTTTGTTCCGTAAGGGTTGAGCAGAGGGGTAACTATAATGTAGAAGACGGCCGCGTGCTTGTCACTATCGGAATCCGTGCTTGACTGGGGCCCCATGTACAGTGGTGCCTCGCATAACGAGTGCCCCGTAGAGCAATTAAATCGCTTAACGAGGGGCTCTGGGCCATCGCTGGAGCATTCGCTCAGCGATGGCCCCTATGGAGGTTTTTCGCATTGCGATATTCGCTAAGCGATTCGCTTAGCGAATATCGCATAACGAAGCGGGGAGAGAACCCAACGGATGGATCATTCTGGCATTATATTCATACCGGTCGTCCTAGCCATCAGTGGGAGAAACAATGCTTCAGTGCTTAACTCCTTCTTTCTGTGCCTGGTCTTCACAGGATCCTGGCCACTGCCCCTTGTACATCTTTGTTCCGTAAGGTGTAAATCATAGGGTTGAGCAGAGGGGTAACTATAATGTAGAAGACGGCCGCGTGCTTGTCACGATCGGGATCCGTGCTTGACTGGGGCCCCATGTATGTGAAGATACCGGCGCCATAGAACAAGGTGACCACAGCCAGGTGGGAGGTGCATGTGGAAAAGGCCTTCTATTTCTGCACAGCGATGTTTCCCATAGCGAGGGTTAATCCGGAATGGATTAACCCTCGCTATGCGAGGCACCACTGTATGTGAAGATACTGGCGCCATAGAACAAGGTGACCACAGCCAGGTGGGAGGCGCATGTGGAAAAGGCCTTCTGCCGTCAAGCCGTTGACCTCATTTGTAACACAGAGTAACTAATGAGGCCATAGGAAGTCAGGATAACAGAGAGGGGACCCAAAAGGATCACTGTGGATGCCGCAAAGATGATGGGCTCCGTGAAACAGCCATCGGCACAAGTATGCTTCCACACCACCGGTAGCTCGCAGAAGAAGTGGTTGATACGGTTGGAGCCACAGAATGGGAGGCAAAGGGTGGAGAGGACGTTGATCAAGGCAACGAGGAAGCCCCCAGCCCAGGAGGCTGAAGCCAGCTGGACTTGGTGCGCTCTGCCCAGGGCAGTGGCATACATCAAGGGCCTACAGATGGCCAAGTAGCGGTCATAGGCCATGGCGCCCAGCAAGAGGCGCACTGTGCAGCCGAGAGATAACGCAACGTACATCTGGATCATGCAACAGGTGAAGGAGATGGCTCCGCTTCTCTGGTTGTAGTTGTTTTTTAAAGGCACGGAGGCAGAGCGCCTGGGTGTAATTCTTTGGCAGCCCATTCCACAAGAAAGGGGCCACAGCAGAGAAGGCTCAGCTTCTGGATGTTGTTTTCTGGGCCTCTCGAGGTGTTCCTATTCGTAAGCAAATGATCTCTGACGACCTGGTCAGTTGGACAGTCGAACATGGCAGAAGACGTTCAGACAAGTAGTAAGGTCTGAAACCTGCCCCACTAGAGAGCTGATGGTTATCTCTCATAGGAACAGTAACTAGGTTTGATCGTGCAGGGCTTCCAAAATCAGATGAGAATGGGGTGTCTCAGGTGGATGGGGTTATCTTATGCAAACACAGAGAACAGGTATCTGTACCTCTGCATTGCTTTCATCCCCTTCCTGCAGCTCTCTTGTGTTACAATTGGGAGCCTTTCCAACCTCCAGTGGTGTAGTGGAACCAGGGTTCATGGGGGCCTTACTGGTCAACAGGGATTATTTATGACATTATCTACCACTCCTTTCTCTGAAGACTTTCCTTGCCTCTCTGTGAGCTCAAAGGCAACTTTCATAATAGCTGGAAAGAGACCGTTGCATGCATTCCTGTTGTAATGTGAAGTATTTGAAAGGGGGTTGGTCTTGAAATGGGCAATTGGAAGCCATTAGCTTTACAAAACACCTTCTCATCTTCTGTTGATACGGCTCACTCTAGCAGCCTGCATTATTTCCCTTTCGTGGGAGGAGACTGGGTTTGGATGCTGCCCAGATAAGCAGCTACGCTTCTCAGTTTACCGTTCCACCACTCCTGGGACCTTTCTACACAAGTCACTCTGCATCCTGGCTAAGAAGAAAATATGGGCTATACAACAGTTGACAGAAAGGGGTCCTATTTCCAAATATGAGGGGCAAGACAGTGGTGATAGAGCTCCAGCCCGCAGGCCATGTGAGAAAGAAGAAGATTGGGTTGCAGGATTGGGCATCAGACCACATCAGCATCTACTCCAGGGTTGATGTTCTTCATTGTCAAAGAAGCTCTTCATGTTTTTTTTTTTAGAATGAGGTGGATACCAGTCTTACCCACAGATGCCAGAAATACAGCACAGAAGTCTGTGAATGCAATACATGATATATGAATGAACTGAGTTCTGTTCCCTAAGTCTGTTGCTGAGTCTTTAACTATCTCAGTGAGAAGACCCCCCCAAAAAAAGTTTCTTAAAGCTAGGTTGAAATCCTGTTGCTTAGCATAGTAAGTTGCACTAGAGTAGTCCTTACTGAATCAGTAGGGATCTGGTGAATCAACTCTTCCAAAAGTTCTATCGATTCAAATCGGCCAACGGTAGTATGACTTACTGCACTAAGTAACATAACTTCAACCTTAGAATTGTTTTCTTCTGCATTATATGCATTATTGTTGCATATAATGTACAGTTCTGAGTGGACTAGTATTTATAATCTCACCTGTAATTAGGAAATTGGCAATGATTGCTTCTTTCTCAAAACCCAAAGGGAGTTATGTTACTTACTACCAAAGCAGGGAGAAAACACTTTTAAAAAAGCTATTAATATAACCAGTGCAGTTCAAAACAAGAGCTAAAGACAGCCAGGATTTCATTGATCCATTATACAATATGCAACAATTCTGATTCTGAAGAAGCTGGTATTTCTGTCAGGTAGAACTTGGACTTTAAGCCCAATGAAGGAACAGATGGATTGGCATCCAGGAGGAAGATGTTCAGACAAGATGGTATCATGCATATTCTTGTTTTTGCTGCTGCCTCAGATAGCATGTGATCCCCTGGTTGCTAACTGTAAGATCATTGACCCTCTTTCAATAAACCACCAGTATTATCATTCAAGAGACCTCGTTCTTGGCGGCATTACTTCTCAGAGCTACACATTTTCCAACCCGCTGACCTTCAAAGCACATCCCTCTGATGAATTCCTTGATCTCATGTAAGGAACTGGTTTCTTAACTGTTGAGGTTCTCCAGAAAGGTTATGACAAAAAAAACCTTACCGGGTCTTTAGAATCATTACTGAGCTTCAGTTTGATGATATGAATATCTTGCTGAAGACATCATGTCCATCTGTGTACTGCCTCTTCCTTCTCCTCCATCTTAAAATCTTAGAACAAGTAGGAGGGGACCCTATAGATCATCAGCTCCAGACCCTTTCAGAGACTGGAAATTGAATTCCCAAACTTGGGCTCTGCAGCCAAGGCTGCTGAGCTATTCCAATAGTTCTTCTTAGGAATTTTCTCTAACTTCTTTGCTTTTCTTTGCAATATCTAAGGAGAATACAGCTTGCCTTTCCTCCCTGTTTTGCTGTGTAGTGATATCCACAGGAAGGGTGTTGGCGCTCTACAAATTTTCCAGACATACTTTATATGTGGCTAGATTTCAAGATGGTATTTTTATTACGATTTTTCCATTGTAACAAAGTTGCATGTCAAATTGCTCTATCTGTGGTCACTGGTAATTTGATTTGTTTGGTAACTTGTGTAATATTTACGTTGAATATCAGGAAAAAAACTGCTGTTAGAGCAGTACGACAACAGAGGTGGTAAGGGCTCCAACACTGGAAGCATTCAATAGAAAATTGGACATTGCTGTTAGAGCAGTATGACAACGGAGGTGGTGAGGGCTCCAATACAGGAGGCATTCAATAAAAAATTGGACAATCTTCTTTCAGATCTGCTTTGATTTGGATTCCTGCCTTGAGCAAGGGGTTGAACTCAATGGTCTTATAAGCGCCTAACAATTCATTTATTCTATAATCCCATGATTCTATGATCTGCCTTCATATAAAACAGTGGTTCTCAGTTTTTCACTGCTCCACATCTACAAAATAATCTGCTTCCCCCATGAAAACAGAAAGCCCACTATTTACGAAAAAGATCGTTACGTACATATTTGCAGATTTCTTATATATTTACAGGTATTCTCTTATTGTATTACTAATTTTATAGTTTATAGTTTAAACATTGCAATGGTATTGCTGGGAATAAATACAAACAGAATATTAATTATGTGATTAGCTGAATATGTAGACGTTGTCTAGAGGGGCGGGGTAGAAATTGAATAAATAAAATAATAAATAAATAAAATAAATATGTAATGCTTATTCATTCTTACTAACTGCTATAAAATTCCTGTGTCCTAGCTAGACTGCTTTGATGGATTTACCTATGGTAAATCTTTAATCATTTACTGTGCAGTGCTAGAAGATATGTGTAGAAATAAATTATACTGAGAACAATGGGGTTTATTCCCAGGCAAGAGATAAGACATCACTGGAAATCTATTGTATCATTTTTCTACTGATAAAATTGCTCTTTTCAAAAGTTGTGTTAACTGCTGTGTTTGCAGCTTTGGGGCTAGTTCTCAGCAGATTGATTTGGCCCTACATGTTCTGTTGATCTTTCAGTCCCTGGCAGCCTCCGTTAGCAATGATCAGGCAGTATGGAGAGCTTTAAGTCAAAACAGCAACACCAAGTGTCTCTACTACATTTCAGCTCATGGAAATATGCCATCAACCACTTTCCCTGTGAAAGGGAGACCACCTTAATGGCATTAGGGAAAACACAAGCGTATTAAAAGTCAAACATCCATTAACCAAGGCCAAGGTCAACAAAACAGCTGAAGCATTTTGAGCATCACACAGACACAGATGTGAATATTTCGCTTTTAAACAAGTTGGAGTAACATCATAGAAACATAGAAGAATGGAGCTGGAAAGGGCCTCTAAGACCATTGTATCCAACCCCCTGCTCAAGGCCCATTTCAGGAAAACACAGGTATATTAGAAGTCAAACATCCACTAACAAAGGCCAAGGGCAAGAAAACTCTAAAACAGGTGAAGCATTTTGAGCATCACACAGACACAGGCATTAGGGAAAACACAAGCGTATTAAAAGTCAAACATCCATTAACCAAGGCCAAGGTCAACAAAACAGCTGAAGCATTTTGAGCATCACACAGACACAGATGCGAATATTTCGCTTTTAAACAAGGGGTGTTGTTGGAGTAACATCATAGAAACATAGAAGAATGGAGCTGGAAAGGGCCTCTAAGACCATTGTATCCAACCCCCTGCTCAAGGCAGGAATCCAAATCAAAGCAGATCTGGCAGATGATTGTCCAATTTTCTCTTGAATGCCTCCAGTGTTGAAGCACTCACCACCTCCCGAGGCAATTGGTTCCGTTGTTGTACTGCTCTAACAGTTAAAAAGTTTTTCCTTATGTTCAGCCTAAATCTGGCTTTCTGTAGCTTGAGCCTGTATTATATGTCCTGCATTCTGGGATGATTGAGAACAGATCCTGCCCCTCCTCTGTATGATTACCTTTTAAGAAAAGTGCTATCCCCTCATCATTCTTTTCTCAAGGCTAACCATGCCCAGTTCTTTCAGTCTTTCCTGCTAGGGCTTGGTTTCCAGCCTCCTAATCCTCTTTGTTGCCCTCTTCTGAACTTGCTCCAGTTTGTTGGCATCCTTCTCCAAGTGTGGTCAAAACAACATTTCATCATAAATCCCACCCTGTGTCATAAACCTACCTTTGTAAAATGTATAAACTAAGCGCTGACGGGAATGTTCCACGCATGCTAGAGGCTGAAGCGAATATTTGTGCATGTCATTGCAGATACGTGACTCAGACCTACCAGCATCTCCTAGCCTTTGTGTTTGCCGTCAAGGAGATCAATGAAAATCTCAGCCTCTTACCCAACCTCACCCTGGGTTTACACATCTATAATAGCTATTTCCTTGCAAGCTGGACCTACCTCGCCTCCATGGAGCTTCTCTCCACACGGGGAAGTTTCGTCCCTAACTACAAGTGTGATGTCCGGGATCATGCCGTTGCTGTCATTGGAGGACCTGAGTCAAACGTCAGTGAATTCATGGCCACTATTCTGTGTATCTACAAGATGCCACAAGTAAGGTATGCATGGGAAGCATATGGCTTTAATTTAGTCATTTTTCTTCTATGGCTCTCTCTCTCTCTCTCTCTCTCTCTCTCTCTCTCACACACACACACACACACACACACACACACACACACACACACACACACACACACA